TCTAGCAGGCACCCTCAGCCCAGTTACAAAATGTCCTGGGGTGCGTGATTCAAAAGGTACTTAAGCATGGCCTTCAAGGGCTCCTTTCATTTGTGTGCCAAGTGCAATTTCAAGAACACTGTGCCTTGCCTGACCAGAGTGGCTCCATGGTTGAGCATCAACTTATAAACCGGGAAGCCATGGTTCAATTCCTGGTCAAGGCACATGCCCAGGTTTCAGGCTTGATCCCCAGAGTGAGGCGGGCAGAAGGCAGCCAATTAATGATCCTCTCTCATCATTGATGTCTCTCTCTCCTCCCTTCTCTGAAATCAATATATATAAAGAACATTGTTCCTTTGCTTGTATATTCCATCTTCCTGACTTAAAAACAGCCCTTCACTGAACATTTACTCACTTCCCATATATATTACACAAGGCCCGGTGCTGGGTGGAGACAGAGAGAGATATAAGACACAATCACATCACTGGAGGCCCCTCCAAGGCAGACAGAGAAGGTGCCTATCTGCGGAGATCTATCTGCGCTGGGAAGGGGGCTCTAATCTGGTTTCTATGAACCTTCCGGGTCCCATCCTGTGGACAAAGCATGACCACTTCACAGACTGCCCTCCAAGCCCAAGTGCAGACAGGAAAGGGCAGGCCCAGGATTGGAGCCCAGGGGTGGCTAAGTAGAACTCTCCTTTATCTCAGGCAGGTCGGGGGGGGGGGGGGAGGGGGGGCAAAAAGATGTCTGTTAAATGTAGGTCACTGTGGCAGAAAAATAATCCTCCCCCTTCTTATTCTTGCAAACAGGCAGCTGTCCAGGGAGTCTGGACCGTGGCCTGAGGTTTAGCAACATGAGCCTAGGCAACGCGGGACATTTGGTGGCCCAACGGATCCCAGGACCGCGCCATCACGGCCGACACCCCTGGGATTTGAAGACGACTACACACAGCGTGTGTTTCAGATCCTTTTTCTCCTTGGCCATTAAATCAAAAACAGCCCAGGAGACAAAACACAGCTCTTTCAGGTGTCACTCTTTCCCCTTCCTGCTTCACTTGATGCATAAGATTTTTGTGGTAAAACATGAGCTTTACAAGAACATGCAACAGAAAGAATTAGGGAACTCAGTGATCCAAAAACCAGCTAAATGAGGAGTTTCTTTCTTTTTTTTTTTCTTCTAATGTAAAGCAGTTCCAAGAAAAGTGAAGTCACAGCCTCGAGTGCTTATTTTCAGTTCTTAGAAAAGAGCCGATTTCAAAAGAGAAGCAGCACGGCCCGGGCAGACAGTTTGCCCTTTTCTGGCGAGGGGTGCGTGGTGATAAAACGACTTTGATTTGGCACCAGCACACTGACACCCCTACCCAAGATGCGTTTCCCTTTGATGATGTCAAGGAGGAAACGTTAGCCGAAACAGTGAGAGAGATTATACTCAGGGAAACCACTGGAGCTGGCTAACATGCTGAAGCAGCAGGGAGCCGCAGGGAGCCGCAGGGAGCCGCAGGGAGCCACTGGCCGTCTGTGGGACTGTGGGAAAAACAGGGCACCCTCCTTTTCCCGCCTCCCACCCTGCTGCGTTCCTTCGCTGCTTGGGCAGCCATACCAGCCCAATTAGCAATTTTCAATGGGACATTTCTTACCAGAAGTTAGGTAGGGGCAAACTGCGTACAACATGGCAGGGGTTCTCAGCAGCCCGGCTCGATTTTCTAGAAGAAAAGCAGGTCTCAGATAAGGGGAACTGCAGACTCAGGTTTTAAGGGGCCTACCACATACCCAGTTCAAGGGCTGTTATTAGGAGCTCCATGATAAAGCTTTAACCTAAGAATCCTATAACTGAGGTCCCATGGCCTGCATCAATGTTAAATGTCAAGGTAATCAAAAGCAGCTGATCGACGGTCCCACCTAGGAGGAGACTAAGGAGACACGAGGACTGAATGTAATGGGATGACCTGGATGGGATCCTGGAACAGAAAAGGGCTTTAGAAAAAAATAAAGAAAATATAAAGTATAAACTTGAGTTAATAATATCCCAATATTGGTTCATTGATTAAACAAACATACCATACTAATGTAAGATGTTAATAATAAAAGAAACAGGATGTGGTATATGGGCACTCTTTGTATTGTCTTTGTACTTTTTCTGTATACCTAAAACTATTCGAAAATATATATATAGTTTTTAAAGGCAACTGACAGATGTAAGAACTTACTATTCCTCCCAGCAACAATCATTTGGTGGCTACCATGTGCCAGGCACACATGAAAGTGATTTAGATGCATCTTCATTTATTCCTCACATCAGTGCTATGAGCTGGGTATAATCTGCATCTTATAGGTGAGGAGATTAAAACTCAGAGAGGTTAGGTAACTTGTTTGCAGTCACACAGCAAGTTTAACAACAAATAAAGGGCTCATATTCAGGTCTCTAGGGCTGCAAAGCTCCAGAAATAGCTCAGGAACACTGCCTGAAAATCCCCAAACTCTGAACATAAACCTCCTCAAAACAAGCCTTAAGGAGTCAACAAACCGAGATCAGTAATAAAAATTATGCATTATTTCCAATTTGCCCTTTAAAAGAAAATGCTGTAGTTTAAAAACAGCAAATCCAAAACACTGGAAATACCAAATGCTGATGAGGATGTAGAACAACAAAAACTCAGATACTGATGAGAAAGCAAAATGGTATAGTCACTTTGGAAGACAGTGCTAAGACTGAAGATGTGTTCCCCCATATTCTTATGTTGAAATGTGGGGGCCTCTGAGAGGTGATTAGAGAAGGATGGCAGAGCCCTCATGAATGGGATCAGGGCCCATGAGACCCGAGAGCTCCCTTCTCTCTTCTGTCATGTGAAGACACTGTAAAAGGACAGACATCTGTGAACCAGGAAACAGCACCTTGATTCTGCCAGAACATTGATCTTGAACTCTCCAGCCTTCAAAACTGCAGAAAATATGCCAAAACTTGTTTGGCTCAGTGGATGGAGCGTCGGCCAGCGGACTGAAAGGTCCCAGGTTCGATTCCGGTCAAGGGCATGTACCTTGGTTGCGGGCACATCCCCAGTAGGGGGTGTGCAAGAGGCAGCTGATCGATAATTCTCTCTCCTTGATGTTTCTAACTCTCTATCCCTCTCTTCCTCTCTGTAAAAATTCAATAAAATATATATTTTAAAAAAAAAACTGTGGAAAGTAAATTTCAATTATTTTTAGGCCCCCGAGTCTATGGCGTTTGTTATAGTAGCCCCAAGAAACTGAGACAGTCTGGCCGTTTCTTACAAGGTTAAACATAAGCTTGCACATGATCACCAGTTGTGCTCCCAGATATTTACTCTGGTAAGTAGAAAACATGTCCACAAAACCTGCACACAAATGTTCATTTAGGCTCTATTAATAAATGCAAAAACTGGAATCAAATCAATGTCCTTCAATAGGTGGATGGGTGCCAAAGCATGGTACATCCATACAATGGAGTATTATTCAGCAATAAAAAGAAATCGGGCCCTGGCCAGTGTGGCTGTTGGTTGAGTATCCATAAGTTTAGATAAGTTTGCTTGCACCATTCCCAGTCACAGCACATGCCCAGATTATGAGCTCGATCCCCAGTCAGGGGCGTGCAGGAGGCAACCAATCAATGTTCACTCTCACATCAATGTTTCTCTCTCTCCCTCTAAAAATATCAAGTTTAAAAATCTTTTTTAAAAATTTGGCATCAAGTTGTGAAAAAACATGGAGAAATATTAAATATATATTGCTAAGTCAAAGAAGCCAGTCTGAAAAAAAAAACTATATCCTATATGATTCCAATTATATGACATACTGGAAAAGGCAATACTATGGAGGTAATAGGCAAAAAAATCACAGTGGTCATGAAGGGGGAGAAAGGGATAAATAGGTGGAGCACACAGGATTTTTAGGGCAGTGAAATTATGCAGTATGATACCATAATGGTAGATAAATGTAAAATGTATACAACTGTATATCACAAAGAGTGATCTATAATGTAAATTATGGACTTTAATTAATAATAATGTATCATCAATTATAAGAGAAATAGAGGAACGAGGTATATGAAAACTATGTACTTTTTGCTCTTTTTTTCCTATAAAAATAAAGATGCTCTAAAACTAGGTCTATTAAAAAACAACAACATACAGCATGTAAAACAATTTATTAGTGGTAGAAGATAAATAATCCAGCAAAACTCGACAGCAATGTTGAAACAAAGCAGGACTCCTTTGACATTGATAATCTAAGGAGAAAAGAGGGTTGAGTAAGAAGCAGAGAGCAGAAATCTAGTATTCAATATAATCCCAACAAACAGTCCTTCCATACCAAAAATGTAGAACTCTACCCAGGAGGATGCTCCCTTGAAGTATCTCACCAAATGTTAAAAGACCGAAGTTAGAAGTTGAGTGAATGCCTGAAAGTTGTTCTCAATCTTTAATTTTAATTTCAACAAGAATTTCAGCATGTCCCTATCATCACCCACATCTAAGAGAAATGGACCGTTAAGGGTTGAGTGCTGTTCAAGAGAGCTGTGTCTCTGAGAGGCTGCTGTACCGCTTGACTTGCAAACTGGATATGGAAGCTGTTGATGGAGAAGACGTGGGGCCATGATGTCATTCTTCTTTCACGCAGTCTATTTTCCTGCCCATGACCACACTTTAATCACCACGGACAATGATTGAGATTCAAAGTTTGCACCATAAAATAGGATCGCAGCAGTCACGGAAAAAGTATCATCACTAGTAAAACCTGAGAAATGCAACATGAGATTTCTGTGTGCTTTAGAGAGAATGAACACAACATCTGCTTTTAATCAATGCACAGGGGCAACAGGGGCTGAATTAACTGGAGTGCCCCAGCATTTAGAAATCCTACATCTGGACAACTTAGTGAGCCAACGCAAAGCTCTCCGAGGAACTTTTGAGAAATACACATTGAACAATGTCCGTGAAATCCACATGGAATAAGAACTTAAGTCATTTAAGAATTTCCGTTGTTTTTAATGACACTTCCAACATCATCTAAGGAATATTCCTGTGTAAATCTTCTACTTCCAGTGCCCACATGCTTTCATGGACGGGATTATCAGAAAGATCTGTCATCTTCACAGCCTGAAGGCAAGGCTCAGGGCTATAGGCCTGAATCACTCCCATTACCATTACGTACTTCCCTAGAAGAAAAAAGACCATGGTAACGTTAAAATTGATAGGAAAAAAAAAAAAGCCAAACAGACCCAGTCCTTCAGAGGGCTTCACTTTATCAGAGAGGAAAATTGGAGACTTTAAAGAAAAAAAATGCACCGTAGAGATCAAAATCCCAAGGCGGTCAATGATCAATATATCTATCTATCTATCTATCTATCTATCTATCTATCTATCTATCTATCTATCTAAAAAGAGCAAAAAGTACATAGTTCCTGTATATTCCCTTCATCAGTTTCTCCTATTATTAACATCTTGCATTCCTGGAATACATCTACACTAATGAAAGAGGAACATGCAAATTGACTGCACCTTTGCAACACCCACTAGCCAATCAGGAGTGAGTATGCAAATTAACCCAACAAAGCTGGAAGGTTAACATGCATACACAGATGCCAAGTGGCCAGGAGGGGGACACAGGTGTTCTGCAATGCCCCAACCTTGTCCTAGTTCCTTGCTCAATGCCACAGAGTATGTGGCTGTGGGCAGCATGGGAAGACAGAAAGGTGGCTCCAGGTCAGAGCAAAGGCGGAAAGGCAGCTCTGGGCTGGAGCGAAGGCAGTGCTGGCAGCCAGCGAAAGGAAGGCCCATTCTTGCACAAATCTTTGTGCATTGGGCCTTTAGTTTGTTATAATTGATGATACATTATTATTAACTAAAGTTCATAATTTACATTATGGGTCACTCTTTGTAATATATAATTCGGTAAGTTTTACATTTATCTACCATTCTGGTATCATACCACATAGTTCCACTGCCCTAAGTTCAACATTTAATTTGGAACATTACATCTGTATATTCTTTGGTTTCTGGTTTTCAAATATTAAAAAAATAAAAATAAAAATCAGCGTGCTACCATCTTGCACAAAACAATCATGCCCAAGGAATAGAAAAGACTCACATCAGAGTATGAGCTGTAGTTAGACAGACTGCTCTTAGGAAAGGGCAGAAAACCCAAGTTTTCTTTTGTCCTTGTTCCTTGCTCAATGCCACAGAGTATGTGGCTGGTTGTAGTCATGGGACCAATCCTCTTTCTGCAAAGACATCCCCAAAGCAAATCCAATTTTTCCTCCCTGTTGCCAAAAGATCTGGGTAAGCTACTGCACTCCTCCACCCATCCCCTGCTGCCCCGTTGTTCTAACTGCATAGGACCAATCCCCACCACCTCCTGCTTTATCCTGATCACCAGCTGGGTACACATAAGCAAATCAACAAGAGGGCAGGCTGCCATCAGGACGATCTAATGACATATTAACTGTGACTCTCTTCCCATTCTAGTGGAGAAGTGGCTCTCCTTGAAAGCAAAACTTGGCAGGTCTTAACCACACAAAACTCAATTGTATAAAAATACCCAAACACAGCAGGAGGAGCAGGCACACTGCCAGGCCTCATCCATGCCTTTCCAGGCCACGTTAATCACAATGCCTCCAACAGCCGGGCTGAGTCTGCATGTGGGTCTGACTGAAGGAAGCCAGGCAAGTTGACACCTGACCCTCTGGTTTTCAACTCCTGAAAGGAGGTACTTAGGTTTCTCTGGATTCGCCTCCAGATTCTATTAAGGAAATAACATAGCATTAATGCCTCAGTGATAGAGGCTAGTTCTAAAAATACATTTGCCATGCTCTCTGTGAATGGCCCTAAGGTGCTGGTAAAGAGAGAACCCTCAAAAAACAATGAATAAAGACACAGGAAAGAACAAGCCCAAGGAGATCCTAACCAGAAGAGGCTAACACGAGCCGCACTTGGCTCTCCACCTGCAGGGATGAGCTCAAAGGCATGCGTGCTTTCCTCCCTGCGATCAGACAAGCTGGCTCTGAGTCCTGTCCATCATTCCTTCTCCTCCACAGTCTCTCCCCACTGTCTCCCCTTCCCCTCAGTGGTCATCCCCTGGCCATTTCAATCGCTTCCAGCTGGTCTGTTTCCAGCTGCTTCCTCTTTACAACCATCCCTGTCGCACAGTGTCAGCGATCTTTCTCCAATGCAGCTCCTGCCTCCAGAACCCTCTGATCACAATTCGCAGTCTTGGCCAGTTAGTTTCTCCCCTCTCCACTGCAGACTGGAGAGTTCTGACTCAATTCTGCATATGCAGCACCTGACAGTTAAGGAAACAAACTGCTGGCTGTTCTGGAGGAGAAGCAGGGGGGGGGGGGGGGGGGGAGGGCACAGCACCGACGCAATGAATATGGCCCAAGGCCACCTTGAAACAGGCAGGTCCTTCCACAAATGGCTCAGCAGGACGGGAGCCCTCCCACCTTTCACTGTTGCCCCACATTCTGCTTCAGGCTCCCCAAAGTACGGGGCTCTCTCTCACCTCCAAGCCTCTGCACACGCTATTCCACAGACCTGGACAATCTCCTGCCTCAGGGAGACATAAGGTGATCAATTGTTCTGGTTTTAAAACCGAAGTTCCACAGCCTGGACCCTCTTCCGTGCTAGGCAACCTGGGTAGATTGGACTCCACAGGGTAACTCCAACACATCCTTCAGGTCAACTCCTCTAATGAGCCTTCCCTACCATACAGGCCTGGGCCGGTTGTCGCTTCTCTGCTCCTTGTTTACTTTCTTGGCTCTTCCCCTGCAGGCAGTAACAAGCTGTCAATCAAGACATTAATTAAGAAGAGGCAATGGCGTGACCCCTGCCTGCAGGCATTCAGGCAGTAAGTCAGACAGGTTCACCAATGCCCGTCAGTTCAAATGCTAAGGTACCCACTGATGCCAAGCTCATGCCATGGCTGGGACTAGACATGGGAGACACCAAGCAGCTCGGGTTACATGCTGGGGCAAGGGTCAGCACACTTTTTCTGAGGAGGGCCAAATACTTACAATATTTCAGGCTTTGCAGGCGATAGTGTGTTTATGGCAACTACTAATTCTGTCGTTGTAATGAGAAAACAGCCCTAGATATTATATAAATGTGTCACAATAAAATTCACTTAGAGCCCTGGCCGGTGTGGCTCAGGTGGTTAAGTATAATCCAGTGCACCCAAAGGTCACAGGTTGATTCTCACTCAAGAAACATGCCCAGGTTGTGGGGTGAGTGTGGAAGGCAACCCAATAGATGTTGCTCTCTTTCCCTCCCTTCCACTCTCTCTATAATCTATAAAAATAAAAAATATAAGAAATATATTAAAATTTTATCTCAAAAATAACTTTAGAGACACTGATACTGATACTTGAATATTAGAATATTACTTCTTTTGATATTCTTCAACTATTTGGAAATGTAAAAACCGTTTTTAGTTTGTCGGCCATTTGGAGAGGAGGCAGCCTAGACTAATGCTGCAGCAGAGGGCTGAGAGGGAGGGACGCTGACAATGGGGCAGGGGCGGGGGCAAGAAGGGAGCAGGAGTATTTCACTGTAAGGCACAATGGTCAGTATTTTTTGAACTATCACAATTTTTTGAAAAACCACCTTCTGGGAGGGGGTTTGTTACAAAAATAATGCTGGGTTCCCTTCCCTGGAGATTACAACTAGGAGGTTTGTGTGTGTGTGTTGGGGGGGGAGGGGGGTCCTGGGAACCTGCATTTTAAAAAATTCGCTTCAGCTGATGCTTATCGTCAGGTCAGCTAGGGCGGCCCCAGATTGGGCTTGGAACCAGAAGGAGGGGTCCTGAATCAGGGAACCAGCACTGCCAAAGCCCGGCCGCAGGAGGGACGACCGGGCCCTGCCCTCTGGCTGCACAAAACAAGGGTCAGCCCCGAGTTCCGCTCTGGCCATTACCTGGGGCGACGCAGGGCCGCCCGCGCGGCACCCGCTCCAGGCCGCACACCGAGAAGGCGCCGCTCGGGTCCCGCAGCCGCGCCGTGCCGCCGCCCGCCTGCACCACCGTGCCCTGCATCCACACGGCCGCCAGCTCCAGCGGCGCGCGGCCCGCCGCCCGGCACAGCCGCCACGCGCCCGGGCCGCCCTCCGCGTGGCGCCGCAGCTGCTCCGCCAGCACCTTGATGGGCGGCGACGACGGCAGCCGCACGGCCCCGGAGCCGCCGCCAGAAAACGAGTCCGCCCCCGCGGCCGCTGCCATAACGCTCGGCGGCCACTTTCCCGCCAACCTTGAAAGGCAGCGGGGCCCGGCCTGCGGGCACCAATCAGCGGAGAGCTGGTGGAGCCGGCCAATGGCCGGCCAGAAGGCGGGACCTCCAAGGGAGCGGACCACACAAGCCGCCAGGAGTGCGCATGCGCACCTAGAGTAAATACCCGCCCCCACGCTGGGAATGAATGAATATAATGAATTAAGAGAATAAATAAATAAAGGGAGCCCGGCCTGTGTGGCTCAATAGTTGAGCATCTACCTATGAACCACAAGGTCTCTGTTAGATTCCAGGTCAGGGCACATTCCCCGGGTTGTGGGCTCAATCCCTAATTGGGGGGGGGGGGGGGGGCGTGTAGGAGGCAGCCAGGCAGCCTATCAATGATTCTCATCATTGATGTTCCTCTCTCTCCCTTCCTTCTTTCCTCCCTTCCTCCCTCCCTCTCTTCTTCCCTCCTTCCTTCCTTTTCCTCCCTCCTCCCTTCCTCTGTAATCAATAAAAATATATATATTTTTTAAAATAATAAATGTAGGGAGGTAAAGAACCTATTTAACACACCTTAAAATTTGGTGTGCATGCATATCACCTGGAGAACGTATATCTTTACATCTCCTTGCATAAAAGAGTACTTTGGGGTTCATAAATAGTAAATACTGAAAGAAATAGTACCATGATGAGCTTGTGTTTATTGGGAGTGATCAAGAGCTGAGTCAAACCCTGACCAGTGTGGCTCAGCAATTGGATTGTCAGCCAGCACACCGAAAGGTCCCAGGTTCGATTTTCCGTCAATGCTGGAGGCAACCAGTTGATATCTCTCTTTCTCCCCACCCTGCTCCCTTCCACCCCATTAAAAACAATGGAAAAATACCCTAGGAGGAGGATTAATAGAACAACAATAACAAAAAAAGAATTAAGTTAAGCCAAAAGCCTGGCTGGTGTGGCTCAGTGGTTGAGTGGTAACTCATGCACTTAGAGGTTGCAGACTGGATTTCACCCATCAGGGCACTTGCCTGGGTTGAGAGGCAGCTGATCAATGTCTCCCCTCTCATTGATGTTTCTCTCTTTTCCTCTCTCTGAAAAAATATTTTTAAAAAGATGACATTCTTAAAAAAAAAAAAAAAAAATTGGGCCAAGAGAGAAGGCTAAGAAGAGGAACAAGGACTGCTGGTAAAATTACCCTTTCTTTTATTGTATATATAAAATATCCTCCCGCTGTGAGTGAGGACATTTTTTCCATTGATTTTTAGAGAGAGTAGAAGGTAGGGGGAGAGAGACAAATGGATTGTTCCCTCCTGCTGGAGCCCCGGCCAGGGGCAGAGATTGAACCTGCCATGGAGATATGTGCCATTGACCAGAAATTGAACCCAGACCCTTCAATCTGTGGCTGACACTCTAACCACTGAGCAAACCAGCCAGGGCTATTTATTATATTTTAATAACAAAAATGAATTAAAGTTAATTAATACATATATTACTATATTTCTTAAAAAAGAAATGCGCATTCATTATGGAAAATTCAGAAAATTAAATATAAACTAAGAAGAAAATTATAAAAAGTACTGAGATACTATATATATCCACTGTTAACATTTGGGTATACTGGCATCCAGGTTTTAAAAAATACATATAATTATATAATTTTGATATTAAAATACTGTTTTGTATACATATATATGTATACTTTTTTGAAAGAGAGAGAGGAAGGGAGAAGGAGAGAAACATCGATGTTTGAGAGAAACATTGATTGGTTGTCTCCTGCACACACCCCAACTGGGGATTGAACCTACAACCTGGGCATGTGCACTGATTGGAAATAGAATGGGCAACCTTTCAGTGCACGGGATGATGCTCAGCCAACTGAGCCACATCAGCCAGTGTTGTGTATATTATTTTCACTTAAAAATAAACATCTTTCCATGCTTTCTCTTGAATGCCTGCATAATATTCTATTTGTCTCATTTCCCATCTAACCAATATGCTAGAGTTTGACATCAAGGCTATTTCCAATTTGTTACTTAAAATCGCTATTGTGAACTGACTTAAAAGCTAAATATTTATGCACATGTTTCAGATAAATTCCTAGAAATGGAATTGCTCCCTAAAAATTAGATGTCCCCAATCAGCAAAATCCACAAAACCTAACCAACCCTTAAAATCATAAGACCAGTCCTTAGGAGACTCTGTACTCCCAGGGGTTCCTGCAGTGCTGGGCATACAAAGGGTATTCAGAAAAACTTGGTTTTTATAAAGCAGCTAAAACATATTGTCTGCACTCACATCCCTAGAATGCAAGCTATTCTGTTGTCTGGGCAGCTTATGTGTAAACTGATGTGCAGCTCCTTGGAATCTCCTTAAAAAAAAAATATCCAAGAGCTGGCTAGCAGGGTTTCACTAGCTCCTGAAGTTGTGAAATTGGAGTCTCAAATTATTGTTGTGAGCAGAAAACTGGGGTGTATTGACACATGCTAGGAGACTCACCTCTATGGAAGATTCTCTCCCTCTCTACCCACTACTCTCACTTTGGACCTCAAACAACCCCCTTGGCCCCAGCTTCCAAATGCGATCAAAGCCTTTTGGAAAGGGGATTTCCTGCCACCTGAGGACAAAGGTAAGGCAAGGGGAATTCTGGGCCGTGGCCTCACATTCAACCAACCCATTCCCCTGGACAGGTAAGATCTAAAATGGTCAGATTGCCTGGGACATAGACCAAACCCTACCACCCAAAGAGCAGGGGTTTGTTCTGTTAGGATATATATGCAATGGCATCTTCAAAATAGCAGCAGTTAGCTGAGCTTTTACCATGGCACTATGTGCTAAGCACCTTGCCAGGTGCTTCATGTGTAGAGTCTTATGACAATCCTAAGGAGGAAGAGCTTTCCTTAAGCCCACTGTTTAGCTGAAGAAACTGAAGCTTGGAGAGGTGATGTGACCCGCCCAGGACCACACAACTGGTGAGAGGTGGAGCCAATGATTCTGATCCTCATCTGGAGCAAAGGGTCCCTCCCAGGTATCTTTCAATAATTAAGCCCCCAGGTGAAGGGGGCTCTTACCCACTATCCTGGGTCATCACCAGGGAAGAATACCCTGGAGAATTAAAAAAAAAAAAAAATACAGGTTCTATAAAAAAACACACAACTTAGGCCTGGCCAGCATGGCTCAGTGGTTGAGCATAGACCTATGAACCAGGAGGTCGCAGTATGAGTCCTGGCCAGGGCACGTGCCCGGGTTGTAAGCTCAATCTCCAGTAGAGAGCGTGCAGGAGGCAGCCAATCAATGGTTCTCTCTCCTCACTGATGTTTCTATCTTTCTCTCCCTCTCCCTTCCTCTCTGAAATCAATAAAAAATATATTTAAATACACATATACTGTATATATGTGTGTCTATATACATACATGTGTGTATGTATACACATATATATAATAAACACAACTAATAAACAGAGTCCAGTCCAGCATTCCTTAGTATCTTTCAGGGATATAAGCCATAAAACTGGGGCCATATATTTTATCTGTAATGGACCCCTTTTCTTGAAATGATGGCAGTTTTGAGAAAGTGGAACTGTTCTAGAAAATTGAGACTGAGTGAACAACACCGTCCATGTTTGCATTGAAACACACACACACACACACACACACACACACACAAAATCCTCTGAGCAAGGCAGTGAACGGGAATGCCTTATTTCATGGGGCAGGAAGAAAAGTGGGAGACACAAAGCATTGAAATGGCTCCCCCAAAGGCAACAGGTGTATTCTGATGGGTTTCAGGAGGGCTTAGGCTGGGAGGCAGAGGAATGGACATGATGACCACCCATCAAAGCCCAAAGCTGTTTCTCCAAACCAGAATGCCACCACTGCCAGGAAGAGCTACTTTCTTAGCTGTGCGGGGCTGAGTTTGTCTGGGGGTGAGGGGGCATGACCCTCATGGTGGATTCACTGAGGCGTGCAGCACTGTGTCTGGGGACTCAGAAACCTCAGCCTTGCAAAACAGAGACACTAGCATGAACCCAGCTGGGGACAAAGGAAGTGTCAGTCAACCCTGGGCGGGTGGTTGGGTTGGTTGAAGCACTGTCCCATACACTAAAATAATAATAATAATAATAATAATAATAATAATAATAATAATAAGATTGCGGGCTCAATTCCTGGTCAGGGCATATGCCTAGGTTGCAGATTCAATCCCTGGTGAGGGTGCATGCCAGATGTAACTGATTTCTCTCTCTCTCTCTCTCTCTCTACCTCTCTTTCTTTCTCTCTCAAATCAATAAAAACAAATTCTCAGGTGAGAATTAAAAAACACACACAAAAAAAAACAAGGCTGCATTCGGGTGCCACAAGAGGCTGGGTTGGAGACAGAGCTTGCAGTTGGCCTCCCCCTCCCCCCTCCCCCCTTAGCTGTTCTCAGGGACCTGTGTGCAGAGGCCACTTAGAGGGATTGAACAGTGCTGGCCAGGGAGTCCGCAGGAGAGGCCTGTGCCCAGGCATGAGGTCAGGGGGTTGGGGAAGCTGGAAAGAACCAGCTCCCGTGTATGAACAGGCTGGGCCCCCATGGGATGGTCCCGTTCACAGTCCAGTCTCCAGATCTGCCTGATGAGCCCGTGAGTGACTGCCTGGTGCAGTTCATCCCTGACCCTGCTCCTCATGGAGGATGCCCACCTGCCCACCCCCATCTTATAGGAGCGGACACAGGGCCCCCAGCCCACACAGCTGGATATGCTGTGGGTAGATGCCTTCACCAGCCTTTCTCACCACTTGGGCCCTGGTGACTCAAGACAGGTCCCCAAGATGCACCTCCATTTCCTGAGGATGCTATGCCCTCACCGGCCCCAGTGGTGCATGACTTTCCTCGGGCTCCTGTGATGGGCTGCATGTCACAGAGCCACAGCTCTGCAGCTGGCCGTGGGGCCAGGTGTCCTGCCTTCATTTACATCCCTCCACACCCTGCAGCCACGGAGGAGCAGAGGAGCGCGAAGGGGAAGCCACAGGCAGACTAG